TGCGAACCTTTTAGCGTTCTTTTGAAATTCGCCAACAATTTCGTATTTGGCCATAGTCACTAAAAAAAAAGTTTGAATGGGGATATAGGAAATTACCGAGTGACAAATAGTAAATGAATTGCCAGCCCTTTTGGGAATCTGAAAGTGCTTACCTATTTACAACACACCAGTGATGTACTTTTTATAGCGGCGAGAATTACCTACCTACTCGCAATGATGCGATGGAAAAAAATGTTATTAATAACCTACTTTGCGTAATAATTATCGTGCAGAAATCTTACTCCTAGATACACTTAAACAAAAACCTTATCGCGCTGATAGCTATTTTTTCTTAAGTCTGATTCGAATTCGAATACAAAACTGATTTGTTCATGCACGAGAATACCAACTTAATATGGAATTGGTAAGCCAGAAAAGAATTCAATCTGTGAGGCTCACAGGTACGTTTACACTTCGAAGTTCTTCTTTATACTGTCGACTTTGCACAGGTGCACTGACTTTATAAGAATGCATTCCCTAGATATTTATCACGTGGTCTATGATACAGATTATGCAATGAGCTTTAAAAATTGCAAAATTGATGGAAGACAATGCAGACCTTCTAATCGGTATGTAATTTTTTACTGGGCGTAAGTACGAAGATTTCTTTACCAAGACAAAGATGAATTAACTGCCTCAACGTTCAAATGGATACTGATACGATCTTCCGCTAATTGAAATTTTATTGCAAGTGTGTGATCACGTGATTTAACGTTATGCAACGCAAGTCTAAACGAAAATAACGATTACTTTCAAAATCGGTGCAGATTTCAAACACCCCTCAGAAAACATACACGAATTTCACAATTGCCTAATTTTTGTTTATCCATTTATTGCCTAAAAAATAATTAGAACATAATTTATATAGCATACCCACGATTAATCAACCACAGCAGCACACTGCTCGATGCAGGAATATGGGACGACGAGATACTTATATTTTGCATTAGTTCTTCGTAGCGCAGATGCTATATCGATACTCTACGACGGTAGTACGTGCGGGGAGTATGTTCGAAACTTGATCTCTACGGTTTTTTTCTGAAAGATCCAGCAGCGACTAAAAGTGGCATGTCCCCCACAACGACTGGAAATGAACTGAGAAACAGTTGTCGACAACCATGTAGACGAGAGAGACCATGCAACGGCGACTGGAGGGGAGGTAGATGCGTCGAAGAACGGGTGAGAGATCCATCCAATAGAAATCAAGGATTTGTCAGGACCAATGAGAACGAAGGAAAGGAGAAGGGGGTTGAACCAATAGGAATCGAGGATTTGTCAGGACCAATGAGAACGAAGGAAAGGAGAAGGGGGTGGAACCAATAGGAATCGAGGATTCTCAAACGAGGGTGGGGAGCCAATCAGATTAAAGGAGTGGGAGATGGGCGGGGTATAAGCCAACCAATAGTAAGCCAGGGGGGCGGGGCTTAAAGGTGGAGGAGTGGGGGGTGGCCATAGTGGCCCCTATACTACTGTAATCTTTTTTCTACTATACATGTGGAGGAAAACTCCCAATTTTTTTTCAAATCTACGTTCAAATGTCCTTGCGTTTAAACTACGACGTTCAAACGGCTGCGTTCAAACGTCCTAGACCGCTTCCAGAGACTGCAGACAAATTGTCCGATTAGTTGTCTCTAAGAATCCGCAGTTACTCAGGTTGTAAACGGAACGGGGTTCGGGTTTCGGGTAGCTCCATCCAGCGGGCCTGAGATCGAAATTCGTAATATTTTAAGTATATTTAATTAAGGGAAAATATTATATAAAATGATGTATATTAATCAATCCTTGATTCGGAGCCGGTGCTGGGCGCGGAGACACCGCCACTGGTTGTCGCTGTCAAAACGGAATGGCGTCAAATACACTTTGTAATTGCCACAGAGTTGTATATTACTTATATACAACTCTGTGGTAATTGCGCGTAGATTTTAAAGTCACTAAATTTAGAAAGTACCGCAATCATCCGCCATTTTTGGGCAAATTTGCTGCCAGCTTAAAAGAATTGACAAATAAAATCTGAATAGCTGTAATTTTTTATAACCTAACTTCATAGTACTGTCATGTTTTATAAAAATATTATACAGATATCTCCAAACAGG